ATCTGGTCACATGGGTGGCAAGCCACTCCCACAAAGGAGGCCACACCCACAGAGTAGGTTCGAACAATTTTTGAAACCCACCACTGGTGTGGTGACCCAAACTGGATGCAATACTCTAGGTGTGGCCTTACTAGGGCTTTATAGAGTGGTGTTAGTACCTCCCTTGATCTTGGTTGTATCCCTTTGTTAATGCAATTTAGGATTGCATTGGCTTTTTTGGCTGCTGCTGCACAATGTTGGCTCCTATTTAGCTGGTTGTTCTTCTCATCTTCCTTTTCCTTCTCTTTATCAGATGAATGTGAGTACAGATATGAGGCTAATGGCTGCCAATGAAGCCTTCATGAATCTTGGATTTCTGGTTGGGATGACAAATATTCTGGAGAAGAACTGTGCTGCCCCGCAGGTATGTTTTTTCTGAAATGGGACTTTCCCAACAGAATAGTAAATCAGTCCAATCTCTTCTTTAAAACTTCCAGTGATGGAGCACCCATAACTTCTGAAGGCAAGCTCTTCCATTGATTAAATGGATCTGGGATTATAGAATACCAGTTTTGGGAAGGATCCTTAGAGGTCTTCTAATCCAACCTTGCTCAAGGAGGAAAAGTCCAGCTGATTTTTGGGTCTCTGCTGTGCATGTGAGAGATGCACACTCATGCACGAGGGTGCTGGGGGGGAGCATGGTGGGCGTCACTCCCCACACACTCCATTTTTGGTGCCAGGAGGCTTCAGGGAGGACCTCCAGAGCCCAGGTGAGGCCATTTTTGCCCTCCCGGATGCTTGAAAAGGGTAAAAATGCCCCCCCCCACTGTGGTGCAGGGACATTGCATTGTGGGTGTGGGGGCACACAGGTATGTGTGATTCTGGCATGCAAGGACAAAAGCCACCTCTGCCTTATGCCATTTGGGACACAATGGCTGTCCAATCTCTTCTTAAAAACTTCCAGTGATGGAGCACTCACAACCTCTGGAGGAAAGTCATTTCTCTACATCTATCCCATGAAACATTATAGTTTTGCTTGCAAGAATTTCCGCCTTCTGAAGATAAGATCTCAGGCTTTGGAGGGTTGTATGGAAGTTCTGGATGTGAGTCACTTCTTTACACAAATGGTGTAGTGTCACATCTGTGAAATGCAAGAAATTGCTCTGTCCATTGAAGAGACAGCTGATTTTTGCCAGGTGCTTTCTTGTTTATCTTCCTCCCTTCCGCTCTCCTTTAGTTGTGGTTTGTTCGTTTCGATGTTGAACCCTGCCTTCAGTCTTTGGCGGATTCGCTGGCTACTCTGAAGAGAAATCAGGAGGTAAGTGGCTTGGCTGCTCCTTCCCTACAAGCCTCTTAGATGCGGGATCAAAAAAAAAAGACGACGCCTGAAATGCATTCTGGTCCAGTTAATTGGGTTCTCAGAGAAATAAATCACATTTAGATGCCTTGCTGCAACAGATGAAAATGCTAACACTTCTCCCTACACCCTGAAACTTCTACAACGTTCAAAAAATTAAAAAATCAACATTTGATGTCCTCCTCTCACACTTCAGTCAGTCCCATTCATCGGCATCTTTTAATGACCCCATAATGATCCCTTTGTTCTGCACTTGGCTTCCCAAGAGCATGAAACAAACTCCTGGTCCCGACCAAAACCCCGTTTATTAATAGGCTGTGGATTCTGCTCCTTCACATCCAGCAAAGTCTTTCCAGGGAGGACTTACAGTCACAGACCTTATCTGGCTTGGAGAGCTGCCAGGACCATATCTGCAAAACTTGGCAAGGAGTCTCGGAGAGTCATGAACCAATTAAGAGAACTAATTGTCTCCTGCAAACTCTGTGGGCTCTGTGTCAGAAGCAGAGAGGGGGCCAGAGCCGTCTGAGAGTTATCAGCTGCCTTCAGAGTGAGACATCAGTGAAGCAGAGGAACAGCTGGAGCCTGTTCCCAATGTGTGCATGCGCAAAGTTGCCCGACGAAGGGAACAGCTAAAAAACAGGGGTCGACTTGGGAGTAAGGCCACAGGTGGACGATGAATGGCCCCTCCCAGAGGAAATAAAAGAGGAGCGNCAGAGGAAATAAAAGAGGAGCGAAAGGGGAGTGGAGTTTGCAGGAGACCATTAATTCACTTCATTGGTTTGTGACTCTCTGAGACTCCTTGCCAAGTTTTGCAGAGATCGGCCTGGCAGCTCTCCAAGCCAGATAAGGTCTGTGACTGTAAATCCTCCCTTGAAAGACTTTGCTAAATGCGAATGAGCGGAATCCACAGTCAATTAATAAAAGGGGTTTTTGGTTGGGACAAGGAGTTTGCTTCATGCGCTTTGGAAGCCTCAATCAGAAAACACATCGAACAAAACCTGAAAGAGATTTTTCAGATTTGAGCCATTGCTTTGGATTTGCTGACTCTCCCATTGCCTTCTCTAAAATAAATCATGGTCTCCATTGCCAGTCGGCTCTGAAGCGCAATCTGGAAGCCGTCGGCATTGTAATCGAGACAGCTGCCCTGCCAACTTGGGAAAAGCAACTGAACGATTCTTTGGAAGAATCTTCCCTCTTGCCAGAGATAAAGACGAAAGGCAGCAAGAATTTCTTAGCCCGCCGAGAATTCCTCCGTCTCGTCCCTGACAGAATACCCGAGGTAAGAATTCCCTTTCCATTTCTTTCTCTTCCTTTCCTCTTCTGCTTGGAAGGCCAGCAAAATGATTGGAATAGAAATCAGAACAACAAAGTTATCTGGAAGGGACCTCGGAGGTCTTCTAGTCCAACCCCCTGCTCAAGCAGGAGACCCTATATATCATTTGAGGCAGGAAACTTTTCGGGTAACAAATCCAATGCAGTCAAACCTCTGAGGCCTAGATTGTTCCTCAAAGTCCAAATTTATTACTACTTTAGTTCTACAGAGGAATGATTGTATCTGTCATCTGCACCTCCATAACTGTCTGGTTTGGCTCTGCAACCCAACAAGACAGGCACGGACTTCAGAGGATAATTAGAATTGCAGAAAAAACATTGGCTGCCAACCTGCCTTCCATGGAGGATCTGTATATTGCACGAGTCAAAAAGAGGGCTGTGAAAATATCTACAGACCCCTTACATCCTGGACATCAATTGTTTCAACTCCTACCCTCAGAACGACACTATAGGGCACTGCACACCAGAACAACTAGACACAAGGACAGTTTTTTCCTGAACGCCATCACTCTGCTAAAACAACTAATTCAACACAACACTGTCAAACTATTCACTAAGGCTGCCTTACTGTTACTATTAGTCTTCTCGTTGTTCCTATCACCCATCTCCTCCCACTTATGGCTGCAGGTCTGTAACCTGCATCGTTGTTGCTTGCATCCTTATGATTTTTATTGATATTGATTGTTTCCTCATTGCTTATTTGTACCTGGAAGAAATATTTTCCTCTATTTCTGTGATATAACAACCTGAAGTACTCAGTCTATGCTTCACTGATGCCTTGAGGTTCGTCGTGGGAAGAGAAGCTTCCGGGGAGAGCATGTGACAATGTATTGCCCAAGAGTTTTGCAATCACAATTGTTTTGAAAACCCCTGAGCTGCAAAGGATGTCCGCATGACTCAGCTGGAATCCCATGTGAAAGTGAACCCGTGTTCTGAACACGCCTTTTGTTTTATATTATTTCAGATCCGCCCTCAATCCCTAGGGAGCGTGACTGATGCACAACACAGATTTAACATATTAACTGAGTTGGAAAAGGAACCTTGTAGGCCTTCTAGTCCAATGGCCTCTCCCCCACAACCCCAGTAGGAGACCTTACATCATTTCTGGCAGTCTAGTCTCTTCTTGAAGGCTTCCAGTGATGAAAATCCCACATCTTCTGAAAGCAACTTCTGTTCCTTTGGTTGATTGTTCTCACTGTCAGAAAAATTTCTCCTTATTTCTAAGTTGAATTTCCCCTTGGTGAGTTTCCATCCATTGTTCCTTGTCTGGCCTTCAGGTGCTTTGGAAAATAGCTTGCCCCCCCTCCTCTCTGTGGCAGCCCCTCAAATATTATGTCCCCCCCGGTCCTTCTCTACATTAGACTAGCCATGCCCAGTTCCTGCAACCGTTCATCATATGCCTCTAGTCCTCTAATCATCTTGGTTGCTCTTCTCTGCCCTCTTTCTAGAGTCTTAACATCTTTTTCATAGTGTCTGTCTGTCTGTCTGCCTGTGTTTTATCTATCTATCTATCTATCTATCTATCTATCTATCTATCTATCTATCTATCTATCTATCTATCTATCCCCCTGGATAAAATTCTAGGCAGGCAAGAAATTAGCTGGGACCAAAAAGGACACTGGAATAAAAATCCTTGCCTTTAATTTGGATTTGGGGTTGTACACAAGCATGGATTTTTCTTTAATTCTTGGGTTGAGGCTGAGATTTTTACTCACGAGAAACTCCTGTTCAGCCTCCAGGGTTTGCTGCTGGGTCAGAATAAAATAGACTTCCTTATTTATGTGTTCATGGCCATGTTATACTTATTTATATCCCTCTATTTGTACCAATCTCATGCATAATTGTCCATGCCTCTACCAATACCTGTTACCTTGTACACGTTGACAAATAAATAAATAAAACAGAATTAATGTTGACTTCTTGTCTTTTGTTTCAGACAATGGCCCAGCAGCTCTTGATGGTTTTCAGCAGCTACTACGTCAGGCTCCTGGTCAGTGGCCAGCTTCCAGAAGTCCATGCGGGGCAGCACAAAACTATCGGCCAGAAGCCTTGTCTCTGTCACTTTGTAAAGACTAAATTGCTGGGAAAAGAATTCTCCGAGTTCCAATAAAGGTGGACGTTATGTTAGCAACCAAGGCTCTCAATCGTCAAAGACTGAGAACTAGAAGTCTGAGGGAATGAAGAATGGTTTGCATTGTTCTCCCTACAAAAGAACCAGGTCTAAAAATATTTTTGGGGGAAATGTCTGTGCCTTTTTCTGATGAGAGACTACATTATATTTGCATCAGGATCTGCCTCTGAGTGATAAGAAGGCCTTTTGCCAGGTGGTATATTGTTTTGCCGGCCTCTGGATTGGATTCTCATGCATTGTTGGTTGCGCAGAGTCGTAACAATGAGTTGGCAGCCATATCCATGCTGGGGAAAAAAAGAAAAGAAAAAGAAAGAAAGAAGGAAAGAGGGAGGGAGAGAAGGAAAGAAAGAAAAAATAAAGAAAGAAGGAAAGAGGAAAAAGAAAGGAGGAATGAAGGAAAGAGAAAGAAAAAAGAAAGGAAGGGAAAGAAATAAAAAGAAAAAGGAAGGAAGGAAGAAAGAGGAGAGAGAAAGAAAGAAGGCAAAGAAAGAAAGAGGGAGGGAGAGAAAAAAGAGAAAGAAAGAATAAAGAAAGAAAAAGGAAGGGAAAGGGAAAGAAAGTATGAAAGAAAGAAAAATGGGAAAGAAAGAAAAAGAAAAAGAAGGAAAGGGAGAAAGAGTAGAAAGAGAAAGAAAAGAAGGAAGGAAATAAAGAAAGAAAGAGAAAGGGAGAGAGAGAAGAAAAGAAAGAAAAAAAGAAAGAAAAAGGAAAGGGAAAGAGAAGGAAAGAAAGAAGGAAGGAAAGAAAGAAAATAAGAAGGAAGGAAGGGAAAAAGAAAGAAAAAAAGAAGGAAGGAAAGAAAGAAAGAAAGAAAGAAAAGAAAAAGAAGGAAGGAAAAAAGAAAGAAAAAGGAAGAAAGGAGGGAAAAGGAAGAAAAGAAAAAGGAAGGAAAAGAAAGAGAAAAGGAACAGAGGGAAGGAAGGAAAGAAAGAAAGAATAAAGAAAGAGAAAAAGGAAGGGAAATGGAAAGGGAAAGAAAGAAAGAAAGAAAGAAAAGAAAAAAGGGAAAGAAAGAAAAAAGGGAGGAAGGAAAGAGAGAAAGAGTAGAAAAAGAAAGAAAAGAAGGAAGGCAAATAAAGAAAGGGAGAGAGAGAAGAAAAGAAAGAGAAAGAAAGAAAAAGGGAAGCGAAAGAGAAAGGGAAAGAAAGAAGGAAAGAAAGAAAAGAAAAAGAAGGAAGGAAAAAAGAAAGAAAAAAGAAGGAAGGAAAGAAAAGAAAAAGAAGGAAGGAAAAAAGAAAGAAAAAGAAAGGAGGGAAAAGAAAGGAAGAAATAAAGAAAAAGGAAGAAAGGGAAAGAAAGAGAAAAGGAAAGGAGGGAAGGAAGGAAGGAAGGAAAGAAAGAAAGAGAAAAATAATTCCCCCAGGAACGAAGAATTATATCTAGCTGGATTCAGGAAACGCCCAGCCACAATGTTATAAACAGAATTCCTGAGCTTTTTCGGTCTCTGTTCAAGAGCTGCATCTTCTCAGCTCAGCTCCCCTTACTTAAGAGACCCGCGGAGAGACTCATGGTCAGTGAATCAGCTTCTAGGAAAGAGAAGATGCCTCGAGTGTATTCCCCTTGGTCTCCCCTGCATGTGCGAAGTCATTCTTTCTCTCTGCGCCCCCGTAGGGCCCCCCTCCCCCCCACTGTGGTGATAAAGAATCATGCGTCCGAATTCTGCGTGGGATTTACTCCTTTCTATATAAGGCAATTTCTCAGGTTTCCCCTGCTCTTTTTTAACTACTTGTGATAGAAGGAATAGCAGAGCCGGGCTCTGGGTAAAAAAAAAACACACACACACATGGCAGGGAATCCACTACTTACAATCATTCATTTAGTGGCCATTCGAAATGACAGTGACCCGGAAAAGAAGGGGCTTATGGCCATTTTTCACCCTTGTATCCATTGCAGCTCCTCCAATGCTCACCTGATCAAAATCCAGGGGCTGGGCTCATATTTATGACTGTTGTATTGCTCCGGGGTCATGTGACCGCCCTTTGTAACTCCCGAGCCGGCTTTCGACAAACAAAGTTGATGAGGGGAAGCCGGATCCATTTAATGACTGCCCGGTTCACTTAACAACGAGTGGTTGGCTCAACAACGGTGCCAGGAAAGGTCATAAAGTGGGAGAAAGCTCACTGAACAGCTGTCTTGCTTAGCCATGTTTGGCTCACGTGGCCATCAGCCAAGGACTATGAAAAAAAGAAAGAAAGAAAGAAAGAAAGAAAGAGATAGAGAGAGAGAGAAAGAAAGGAGAGAGAGAGAAAGAGAGAGAGAGAAAGAAAGAAGAGAGAGAAAGAAAGAAGAGAGAGAAAGAGAGAGAGAGAGAGAAAGAAGAGAGAGAGAGGGGGCCGAAGGAAGGGAAGGAAGAAAGAAGGGAGAGAGAGGAAGGAAAAGAAAGGAAAAGAAAGAAAAAGAAAAAAGAAAGGAAGGAAGTAATGAAAAAACAAAGGGAGAGAGGAAGGAAAGAAGGAAGAAAGGAAGAGGGAAAGGAAGGAAGGATGAAAAAAAGAAAAAAGTGATAGGATGGAAGGGAAGGAAGGAAGAAGGGAGAGAGAGGAAGAAAAGAAAGAAAAAGAATGAAAAAAGGTAGAAAGAAAGGAAGGAAAGAAAGAAGAAGGAAATGAAGAAAAAAGAAAGAAAGAAAAGAGAGAGGAAGGAAGAGAAAGAAAGAAAAGAGAGAGGAAGGAAGAAAGAAAAGAGAGGAAGGAAGGAAAAGAAAGAAAGAAAAAGAAAGGGAAAAGAGAGAGACACAATAGGACTCCTTAGTGTGTTTACTGCAAGAAACTGACATAGCTAACCATCAAATTTTATTTCCGGCAAATGGGCAGTAGCCAATTCAAGAGGGGCAGAACTATTTCATCAATGTTTTGCCTTCCACCACCACTCCTTCTTTTAAATAGCTGCCACCAACCCTGGTTGGAAAAATAAAATACGAACTGAGTCAAGCAACTGCATTTTTATTCCACAAATTAAATTTTTCCTTTCAATATAATTTCAAGATTTGGTCGTTTCAAGGGTTGGCTCTACTGGTACCGCAAACACAGGATAATCGAACAGGTTCATCTCCGCTCTGAGGGGAGTTTATAAACCTGTTTTCATGAGTTGTCTGAGATCGCCAAGTAGAAGGATGGGAAGCACCTCTCTTCTCAAATGGGGAGACGAGGACCGGACATCGTTCCAGAGGAACTGCGAACGGCGAGCGGTCCTTTATCTGCCTCATCCGCCCCTAGGTTGGTCCACGATGTAACTGGTGCATCTGGGGGTCTCCGCCTTCTGAGATCTTTGTCATCCGCCTGCAGGGTAACCTGAACAGTTTAAGGAAGAAAGTTAACATTTTAGGAACGATGGGTGCTGCATTGTCGAATCCAAGAGACTGGACAACCATTTGTCTAAAATGGGGTAAGGATTCCTGCTTGAGCAGGAGGTTGGACTAGAAGACCTCCAGGGTCCTTTCCATTCTTCGGTCATTCTGCACTCTGTTATTTTGTATTCTGTTATTCGGTATTCTATTATTCTGTATTCTATTATTCTGTATTTTGTTATTCTGTTATTCTGCATTCTGTTATTCTATTATTCTGTATTCTGTTATTCAGTATTCTGTTATTCCTTATTCTATTATTCTGTATTTTGTTATTCTGTATTCTTTTATTCTGTATTCTATTACTCTGTATTCTCTTATTCTGTCATTCTGTTATTCTGTATTTGTTGTTCTATCATTCTGTATTCTGGTATTCTGTATTCTATTATTCTGTATTTTGTTATTCTGTCATTCTGAATTCTTTCCATTATTCTGTAATCTGTTATTCTGTATTCTATTATTCTGTATTTTGTTATTCTGTCATTCTGTATTCTTTCTATTATTCTGTAATCTGTTATTCTGTATTCTATTATTCTGTATTTTGTTATTCTGTTATTCTGTATTCTTTCTATTATTCTGTAATCTGTTATTCTGTATTCTATTATTCTGTATTTTGTTATTCTGTTATTCTGTATTCTTTCTATTATTCTGTAATCTGTTATTCTGTATTCTATTATTCTGTATTTTGTTATTCTGTTATTCTGTATTCTTTCTATTATTCTGTA